AGAAACATTTGGCTACTCATTTGAACATGCTCACATTGCATGGATAGCTCTGGGAATATATATTCTTGCTGTGCTGACCAAGGCAAGGGAGACAAAGAAGGCTGAGAACAGCCATAATCATCTGTTCACATCGTGGGTCAGCTGTATTTTCTTGTTTATCCATCTTGAGATTCCCGTGACAACAGGAACAGAACAGGAACAGCACTACCAAAACAGGATCTGTTACCTGCCCAATATTCACCTTCTTCAACAAGCAGATCTATCTACAAAATGCTCATGCAACGACCTTTCCAGCATAATGCTCACATTCAGGGAGAGAACAAAATGCTGCAGGCCATGCCATGAGGCACATCAGTAGTCTTGACAGAACCGAGGATGGTGAAGGGAGTGTCTCTGATGTATACTTTGTATACTACAAGCTCATTATTTCTCACATACCCATACCACTTTCATGACATTTCCTCTTCAGCATTCCTTCTAAGCCCAGTTCCAAATTCCCTTTTCTCCTTGGGATCCAGTATGTGATGCACAATGAAGACAGTGCCTTCAAGAAGCAGGACATGATGTTTTCCTTCAAGGTGATTCTAGCACTGAGAACACTCTGTGGACCATGCCCATTTTGCCAGGAAACCATTAAGTGCAAAGAGAAGGAGAACTACAGAATAGACTGTTCATTTTGTGCAAAAAAACACACAAAAAGAGTCCAAGGCCTTCCCAGACCTACCCTGGAACTGTCTAAGTCTGAATCTGACTCTCATATCAGGCAAGACTTGTGAAGCATCTAGACCTTGCTAGTGCTGCAAACAGCTCCCAAACCAGGGTTAAAGCCAGAATGGACAGGGGTGAAGTCACTTCCCTGAGTTGCAAGAGAAGATGGCTGTCTTAGCAGGGGGCCAACCAAGAAAGAGAGAGCTCAGTAGTTTTGAGGATAACACCACGGCCAGTAGGTTGGAAAGGTTTCTATTGAAAGATGAAAACAGAACAGCATCCAGTCTGTCCAGTCTGCAATTTGTCATGGAGTCAATGAGAGACAGAGTCTCTCATGGAGACCTTGTGTCTATGCTGAGGCAGCTGCGTGTGACTGCTCACAGATGTCCTGTGTCAGTGTCTTTGGCAGTGGAGGAAGGAAGTTGTTCCAGCCCGTTCCGTGCCCTGGTAGCTTTTAGACAACCACAGCTTCCGAGAACCTGGAATACTGTTTTCATTCTGTTCCCTAGTGGTGGTCCATCTATGCCTCTAGCCTGATGGCATAACATGAATCATTTGATTCTGACCATAATGCAACACCATCTTTTGCCAGGGATAAAATTTTATCATATTACATTTGATGACACATAATATTGTTCTCTTTCACTGCCTCACAGATCTTAAAAACCATCCTTCCCCACAAGAAAGGAGGATGTAAGGACATCTCTCCTCACATTTATTTGATTTCGAGCACCTGTCCTGCATCACTGCATGCTGATGACCTCTGGCTCTAGACAAGGTTTGTAGGTAGTTCCCATAAGAGAGGGTATCAGTGTCATAGGTCCCAAGCACAAAAATGTAACAGAGAGATGCTATGGTTCTTGTCAGCGTACCCCAGCATCTTTGAAGGGGAAGTATGTGTCCTGCTTTTTGAAGGCACTTGAGTAAGACAAATCCGTAGCAAGAAGTGCTGCACAGACATACTGTATAGACTGCCACTTACTGACTCCAAGGCACAGGCTGGTCTGGAAACCATGGTGCAAAAAAAAAACCACAACAGCCAGAAGCCAGCCCTACACCCATATCCCTCTTCCCTTATGTGCTTTTAAGCCATGGCATCACGGCTCAAGCCGGGCAGTTTGTTAGGCAGGACCTTGCAGGATCACAGCTTGTGTCCTACAGACCAGACTGGGTCATAGCAAGAGGCAGAAGAGCCTTGCTGGAGATGCCAGCCAAAGGTACAGTCTGTTCTGTTTCACAAGCTTCAACATTTTAGGGTTGCTATACACAATTGTATTTTTTCTTTTGGTCTGCTCAAAAGTTTCATGGCAGTTGATACATACACCAGTCCTAAACCACAGAACAGAGGCATTCAACTTGGTACGCTGCCCAGGGACAGAAGTACCAGTGCTTTACAAAGTAGCTTATTCAGGAACAAATTATGTATGTGTCACAGCTCTCTGAAATAAATGTACAACGTTTTATAGTGCATTTGATAAAAAACTCAACTTTGATTTGGGTTTTATATCATTTAACTAAAATTTTATGTTTGTGATTGCATTCTACAATACATAACGCAAATGGAAAAGAAATATGGGGGCAATAACACTGCTATCCTGAAAAAAAAAAATGCACTGGAAGTAAAACAGCTTGCTGGCACCTGGAGGTTCTGTATATCCCTAGGTGACAGTTAAGCTGTTCCTACCTTGACAGAAGAGAAAAAGGGAAGGGAAACATGTCTGTATCACTGTTTCACTCATGCTATTTGGAGGCTCTTGATGTTGTGAGGTCTGGGGTTACAAGCTGCACCTAAACTGAAGGTTAGTCCTAGTTCCTCAGCTGTCCACAACCCTCAATACTGTCGTCTTCCCACAGCCTGAAGGATGTTGTGCATGTAAGCCAGATTACCACCACCACACATGCCTAGGGATCAGGATCACTGAGCACACCACACCACTTGCCACCTTGCAGCAAAGCCAGACCACAACAGAAGCCTTCGCTGCTCTGTCTTGCAGGCAGCTTGTCAGGAGTGCCAAGAAGCAGAAAGCAATCACAGTGCTGTCTCTCCACATTATCTGCATGCCCTTCTTGCTTCTCAAACACCTCAGAACGTGGATCCACGCAAGGCACTGCATTGCACATCGCTGCCTCAGCAAGGGAACACTCCCTGCACAGAGGCTTCTCTGCAGAGGAAGATTGTGACCTCTCCAAATAATGCTGCTGCAACGCTGTCTCTAGTGGTCTAGACCTCTGTAACACTGTATGGCCATATGCAGTCTCAGAAACAGGAGGTCAGAGCTGTCAGTCAGCTGCAATTCATCTTCCCCAGAAGGCTATTAAGTGTGACAGTAAACACTCATCTTGAGCTAAGCCTGTTTTGAAAAATTACTTGAAGGCAAGCTGTTGAAAAACAGACAGGCTGTTTCAAATGGGAACAGGGAGGCCAGGGCCTGTGCTGAGTTGCCTTAGGTTTGGGTACAAGGTCACACAATAGGACAAAGGAAGGAAAAAAAAAAAAGCATGTGCTGTATAATGAAATTATTTTAATAACAAAATTGCTCATCCTCATCTCTTATTCACAGAGATTCATTCAGCCAACCTGGAACTTAACCTCCTCGCTCCTCCACAGATTGTCTTCAGCTTAAACTTGGTGATGTGCACACCATACATAGGAAGTGAACTTCTTTTGTCACCTCCCAGGGAAACACTACGCGAAGCAAAGCAAGGGAAGGACAGGAGCCAGCACTGCTTTTCACACCAGCGCCGTCTTGGGAAGCAGGCTGGTTCCTGTGAGCCTGCAAAGAGGTTGCATCCATCCCCAAAAACCGTTTGCAGCAAAGGGGCAAGGAAGGTCCAGATTAAGGCCCAACACAGTGATTTGATACAAAGCCAGACACGTGACCTTGCATGCCATGGCAGTAGGTTGGAAGGATGAGTCAAACCCCACAACTACAGGAAGGGGATCAAGAGCGCTGGTGCAGGAGTGGCTCTTCTCTTGTTGTACGCAGTAGTTGCAACTCTGGTGCCTTTCACAATGGCTCTACTACTTCAAAAGTCCACGTGTAACAACAGTATTCAAAACTCATCACCTTAGCCATCTAATGCTGGTTTTTCAGCATTCACAATGTCACTCGATGGATTACACGTCAGATTTTGGAAGGTCCTTTCCATTATCTCATTTCAGGAGCATCCACTAGTTACTTATTTACTGAGCACTCAGCACTTAACAGTCAAATTATTGTCATGTAACCATAGAAAAGCTAGCTCCTCAGGCCAGACTTCTGCAGGTAATACTGTAAACATTTATGAACAAGTGCTGTAACCAGACCATCATGCTTGAAGTAGCACTCTGTGATACTTCAGAAAAATTTTATCAAGTCTGCTCAGGATGCTTTAAGCAGCTTATCAGAGCCACTAGCCGAAATGCAACCTCAGACTTAACAAAAAATGTGATTTTTATACTTCGCACACTTAATTGCAAGAACTGCATAAACTACTTTTTAAAAACTTTTTAATAATATAGCAACCTGTTCATTTACCACAGCTTTAGACCAGCATCCCAGAACTTCTGCTTCCTAGATCTGCAAGTATCCTTGAAACACCTGGCCACTGACATCTATCTCACAGAAGTTTTAAGTCTATCTACTATTTCTTCACATGAACTTTCCATATTTAATAGTTTCCAAACTCACAGAATTCTGAGTGAAGGGCTCAGAAGCAGGTATCTCTAAGATGTTTACCAACCATGAAAATTTAAAAAGTGAATTGCTCCTTTAATCTGTTTCAAAAGAACTCGTCTTACTTCAGAGCCCAGCTATATTAAGCTAGATACTCAAAAATTCCTCAAGGTTCAGGAATGGAAAGAGCAGTCCAGAAGCACTGTGAAAGTTACTTCATTTACAATAAAAATGCTTAGAAAATACATTAATTTTGGGGGTAATAATGTCAGAAAAGATGTATCTGCTCTCTCTTTGTATTTTTCTCTCTTAAACAGAGACTGCAATTCCAGACTCTTTCATCTCTTAACACAGAAGGACAGGATTGTCTAGAATTTGTTCTATTTTTCAATTCCCAATTTTCATACGAGTCATTTAAATTAGTGAGTGGAACAACCAGGTAACTGCAGATGCACAACTTGGGAAACAACTTCTCACCAATAGCAGTACTTGAAAGTCTTCTGATTAACAGCATTTTATTCAAATAAGATGCTTTTAATTATGTTTTTAATTATTTATTGATACTTAACTACAGGTGTTTGCAGGAAAAATATTCTGTATGAATAATTATATGTTAAAAAAACCCAGTCACATCTGTTTCCACTGTGCCGTTTATTGAGTTTTAAATTAGAAAAAAATTACTAAGTATTTGACAATTCACATGCATCAACTCAAACATTTCAGCCCAAAAAAGTATTGATTTCTTTCAGTCTTGTATTAAGGCTTTCAGGAATTTCACCTAGGCCGACAAGTAACTGGATTTTTAAGAAAAGAACCAAGATAGAGAGACAAGCTATAACTCAGTTTTACTTCTGTTAACAAACACAATCAAAGTGAGTCCTGGTAGTATGCAGTTCATTCTTTTATCTTTACACTTGTGTATAGCTGATAGGAGTCCAAGTGATTGGGAAAGAGTTATCTTCAGTAATGGTTTTCTTCAACAGTGTCTTGATTTGGAGTGCTGAATAAGCCATTGTAATGTTATGTCTGCCAGGACAGATAAAACAAAGTGAAAAACTCAGCAGGCTGTTTGCATAGTGTAAAGGGATAACAGCACACCAGCAGGTTAATACAAATAAAAATAAAACTCAAACAAACAAAGCACAGAAACATCAAGTTCTCATTCACATCTAATCAAAAATCTGGTACTTAAGACTCCAAGTGGGTTTTTTTCCTATTGTTTTTTGTTTGTTTTTAAACTATGTGCATTTTGTGTTCTTGAACTCTGATGACTGACATCAAATTCTCTAAGTCACAGATGAAAAAGCAAAGATTTAGGATGACCATGACATGAACTGTGAAATCCAGGCTGTAATGCAACGCAGTGTGAGAACAAAGGCAGAAACACATGACCAGAAGGAAAAAGAAGTGCAAACATCTGACAGAGCATTAAGAAACCATTTAGGTAGGCTGTAGGAGTCCAAGGTTTCAGAAAGACATGCAACACTAGGCTAAAATTTGATAGCTGGAATTAGTACCCCTCCTGATACCATATAATGCATTAGGATGAAAACTGCAGCAGTTCACAAACTGATTCACGAACAGATGAGATGGTTTTTGCCTCAAGGCAGCAACATCTGTCAGGGAGGCAGGAAGATGTCAGGGGGTAGCAACAGCTCTAGCCCCTAAATTTAAATTTGTTGCCACATCTGTCCTCAGTTCAAGACAGCACCCCGTGAAGATCACGGCAGACCAGCTTCGGCACTGAGACCGCAGACAACAGCGTCCCACAGCATCTAAACCAAAGCTAATAGCTATTTACTCATCTGCCATGGTCTCTCAGGGCACAGAAACTGGCAGCCTCACACCTACACCTCCTGATGAGACCAGTTAGCACTGAAAAATTACTATCATCTCATTCAGCTGCATTGACATCAATCAAAAATGCACAAGAAGATGACAGCTCCCAGTCTTCTCCTTAACAGCCTAATAGTTTCATCACTTTAATAAGCTAAATATCTTTTCATTATAAGTTTTTCATTATAAATTATATTTTCCAGTCCTTTGAGCTCCCAAGGTTTTTGAACAACCTGTTCTCTGTTTCTCAAGGTCTCCCTCAAAATCTGACACGCGGTGCTCCAGTAGTGCCCACACAGATGAAACACACATGACACATGCAGTCTGCTCCCATTGGTTATTTCTTTGGGCGAATATTCAGGAGCCAGGTTAGCCTCTCTAGGCACAGGTACACTGGAAGACACTTGACTGATTCTCAGTTAGGATTTGAGTCTTTTTCATCACTACTCCCAGGATTTCCACAAGTAACCAATCCATCCTGTTCTACAGTGGTGGTGTTTTTTTTCATTGTTTTCCCATTTGCAAATTTTAGCATGCATTTTTTTGCACTTTTTTCCTCTAGGCCATACAAATGAAACAGGGTCAGAAGTTAAGCTGGTTTTTTACCAGTTGCTAGTCACAATACCACTTTTAAGCTCCTCCACTGTAGCAATGCCAATTTGATAAGGTTCAAGCACTGCATTTCTAAAACCTCAATCACCTTCAATGCCCTACACCTATCCAGATAATCCTGACTATGTTGTCTTCCTCAGTCCTTGTATCCCAAAGTCTGATCTTCCCCAGTGTAAGAGCACATTCAGTGTATCTCCCTCACTTAGCAAGAACGGTGGCACCCCAAGCTGCAGCAAACCTAGATCCTACTCCTTCAGACTAACACACCCAAATCATGTGCACCATTTCCAAGAGAAGCCCTCGCTGCCCAGCATGTCCCCGCACACAGCTGACATGTCCCCCTACATCCTGAAGGCCAGATGTCATGGCACAGTTTCCTCACCACCTCCATTCCCTGGTCCTCTCTGCTGAAGATGGAAATTTTCCCTGTGGCTGTTAGAAACTGGCTTTCCTCTCACTCCCACCGTCTCTCATTCAGCTGAGCCCTACAGAGCTACCCAGCTCTTCCAACAAGCCTGGCTTCCTCAAGATGCACCTGTAAACATCTACCCAGGCTGTGTCCTTCCCATCCAGCACCACCTGTCTTAGCCACACAGTGTGCAGGCAAGAGGTGTGGCACAGAGGCACCGTGCCCCCAGGCAGCTGCTGCTCCTGGCTCAGCCTGTGCCTCACCCTTCTCCTGCTCTGTGGAGGGAAGAGAAGGGGAGAACATGACAGAAGAAAGGGACAGGAAATTGCTAGAAAGTTGGAAGAGAGAAGAAAGGGCAAAAAGCAAAGGCAGATGGAAGAGAACTTCACAGGACTTTCACTGACTTCAGGATACACTCTTTGTGTCTCAAAGAGGACCAAAGCTCTAGGCCCTCAGTTTGAGGAACGCTGCCATACAGCCACATGCATATAGGTCCTGCCTAAAAAGTAAAATCATGTCTGGAGCAAAACACTTACCAAAATTAACTATCACCTAACAGTTGGAAGGCCTTCATATCCAGTTACTATTTTTTTCAAAAGTAACAAGAGTTTTTGTGAGGGAATAAATTACTTAGAGTTATAAATATGCTTTTCCAAGGCCCCTGTCAAATGAACTTAACTTTTCATTGAACTAAATAACTCTAGAAGTGACTTTTAAATTATACATAATTCTATGTTAAAACAAACACATGCAATATTTGCAATGGAATCTTTCAAAGTAAATTGAGATTTTCAGTTTTATATTGATGTTAGATATTCAAATCTCATTAACATTTTTAACATCTGATCCAACATACAAAGTATACACTGATAATGCTGTAAGAAGCAGCTTACCAATGTTATCCTTCTCTTTACAGGAAATAGAATAGCAACAGATTTCTCTGTCTTGAATAGCTGAAAGGTTTCTACAGAAACAAAAATAATAAAATAAGTAGTGTTATAACTCCACAAAGACTGACAACAGAAATTTCCATTAAATTACATGTTTTCTGCTTGTTACTCAGTGAATTCAATTCCACCGTCAGATATTAAATTTTTAAAATATGCTACTGCACATAAAAACTCCCACATCTCTTTAAACTATAAAGATTAAAAGGCTCTAGTAATTTCACAAAAATTCAGATTTCTCCTTAAGACAGTGTAATAACAGTGACTAATATAAAGACAGAAATCCAGGAGCTGAAAATAACATTTTGCAGTGGCAACCAAGCTGCATTACCATGTCTTAGCTTTCACCTTTTACCATTTTTTACTTGAAATTCATCGTTTTTATCTCCAATAACTGTTACAATCAAATAATAGTACTTAAATAATCACACCATTAATCTTCAGGATGTTTATACCATACTTAGGTCAGATCTGACTCCTACTTAAAAGGATGCTTCTACACGTAGGAAGAAATGAATTCTTAATTAACTACAGTTTCTTTCTGGGAATTTCCCTTCCCCACTTGGGGTTTCTTAGCACTTTGCTATTTTTTTCATTTACTTGTCCTCACCCAAGTGACACAGACATGGAGGAGACAGATTATGTTCCTGGAGCAGATGGAGTGGAGGTACCAAGAAGGAAAGAGTCAAGAGACTCTAATAAAGAACTAAACAGCAACCTCCCTGGACTTCAGGAGAGCAGACTTGGCCTCTTCAGGGATCTGCTTGGAAGAGTCCTATGGGATAAAGCTGTGTAGTGAAGAAGGGCCCAAGAAAGCTGATTAATGTTCAAGGATCATCTCCAAGCTCAAGAGAAGCCCACCCGAACGGGTCCAGCAAATAAGCCAGGAGGCAGAAGTGGATGAACAATGAACTCCTGGCAAAACCCAATTACAAAAAGGAAGAATACAGAAGGTGAAAGCAGGAACAGGTAACCTGGGAGGAATACAGAAACGCTGTCCAAGCATGCAAAGACACAGGACAGCCAAAGCCCAGCTGAAATTTGATCTTGTGAGGAATGTCAAGGGCAACAAGAAGGGTTTCTATAAGCATAAAGTGACAAAAGGAAGACAAGAGAAAATGCAGGCCCATTACTCAGTGAGATGGGGGACCTGGTCACACAGGACATGGAAAAGGCAGAAGTACTAAATTATATCTTTGCTAACAAGATCAGCCTTCAGGAATCCCAGGCCCCAGAGACCAGAGGGAAAGACTAGAGCAAGGAAGTTGTATCCTTGATGGAAGAGGATCAGGTCAGGGAAGACATAAGTAAACCAGACATAGAGAAGTCCATGGGCCCTGGTGGGATGCACCTACAAGCTAATGTCGCTGTGAGGCCACTCTTGATAACCTTTGAATGATCATGGCAACAAGGAGAGGTGTTCCAAGAATGGAAGAAAGCAAATGTCATTCATTTTCAGAAAGAACAGAAAAGAGGACCTAGGAAACTACACAAGAGTCAAGACTCAACTTGATCCCTAGGAAGGTCATGGAACAACTAATCCTAGAAGCCATTTTCAGGCACATAACAGACAAGAAGGTGATCAGGAGTAATCAGCATGGATTTACAAAGGGGTAATCATGCTTCACCAACTCAATAACCTTCTACAGTTTGGTAGATGAGGGGAGAGCAGAGGATATTGTGTACCCTGAACTCAGTAAGGCTTTTGACACTGTAACATCCTCATAGACAAGCTGAGGAATTATGGGCTGATGAGCAGATGTTGATATGGACAGAAAACTGGTTGAACAGTTGGGCTCAGAGATCAATCAGTGGCACCAAGGCTAGCTGGAGGCCTGTAACTAGAAGTGTAGTCCAAGGATAAACACTGGGTCCACACCTGTTCAACATGATCATTGATGTGGATGATGAGACAGAATGCACCCTCAGCATGTTTGCTGATGACACAAAACTGGGAGGAATGGCTGGTACCCCAGAGAGTGATGCTGCCACCCAGAGGGATCACCACAGACTAAAGAAATGGGCTGACAGGAACGTCATGCAGTTCAACAAGGGGAAGTGCAAAGTCCTGCCCTTGAGAAGGAACAACCCCAGGCACCAGCACATGACAGGGGCCACCTGCCTTGGAAATCAACCTTCCAGAAAAGGACCTAGGGGTGCTGGTGGACACCAAGCTGAACATGATCTAGCAGTATGGCAGAAAAGGCTAATGGTATCCTGGGCTGCATTAGGAAGAGTCCTGCCAGCAAGTCAAGGGTGGTGATTTTTCCCTTCTACCCAGCATTGGTAAGGCCATACCTGGAGAACTGTGTCCAGTCCTAGGCTCCCCTGTACGAAAGAGATGTGAAACCACTGGAGACAGTCCAGTGAAGGGCCACTAAAATCCTTAAGGGTCTGGATCATCTCACATATTAGGAAGGCTGAGAGAGATGGGACTGTTTAGCCTAGAGAAGAAAAGGCTCGGGTGGGATCTTATTAATGGGTACAAATATCTAAAGCAAGGCTGTAAAAAAGAGGCAGGACAAGAGGCAAGTCACAAACTGAAACACAGGAGGCCCCCTCTGAACATAAAGAAATACCTTTTCCCTCTGAGGGTGATCAAGCACTAGGACAGGTTGCTCAGAGAGGTTGCAAAGGCTCCATCCTTGGAGACATTCAAATGCCATGTGGACATGGTCCAGGGCAACCAGCTCTAGGTGGCTCTGCTTGAGCAAGTGTGGGGACAAGATGACCTCCAGAGGTCCTTTCCAACCTCAGCCATTCGGTGATTCTGTTACCTAAGTCTCAGTTTATTTGCTTAGACTTTGGACCATCCTTCTGTACTGAAACCTCATTTGTCTTCTTCATCTCGCTTGTGCTTCCGACCGATTAAAACTATGTGATTTGAGAGACAGAATCCTCTTCTGCAAAATTATTGCCATACCAGCCATGTGGACACAGCTGTGTATTTTCTTTACAATTACCCTTACAATGCATCAAATTTAAGTTAGTTTCAGTAATCCATAAGGATATGCTTTGGACACATCAAAAATATGTGAACTGCTTAAATTTACAGACAGTAGTTCAAAATGGATCTGTTCTAATGCCATAAGAGCATTAAGTGCCACCACATATGTTTTCCAAAAAGTGTAAGTGAGCCTATTACTATCTATAGCAGTTGGATCTTCAGTGATAGAAAAACAGGATTATCTGAAACAACTTTACACAACTGAAATAATAATCAAAAGAGGCTGCAGTCAGTTATCAGCCTAGATTGCTATTTCAACCACCAGCAGAGCTCAGCGGAGTATCTGAGATGTAAAATGGAATCTGCTATAGCTGGCTATTGCCATAGACTACCAATGATTTTCCCTTACACATTGAATTTCACACTGTTTCAGCCTTTTACACAGGCCAGCTACTTACAATTTCTCAATTAACTGCTTTTCATCCAGTGCACCTGGGAGGTCTCTTTTATTTCCAAGGACTAACACCTGAAAGAAATAATTCATATCAGTCTTAAATCCAGGAGCAATTAAAGTTTATTTTTGTCTTTTACCATTTACTGGCATTATTTGGGATACTGCAGCCAAGTATTTAGAACACAACAGCAGACATATTCAAAATGAGCAATAACTGTGGGAGCATGATGGAAATCCCACTTCTAGCCAGGGCCAGATGCTGGATGCACACCCTCTGAAAACTGGATCAACGTATTTCTGGATGTATCACTACCAGAAGTCTCCTCTGGAAGTGAATCTCTCCATTACAGATGGCATTACAGCACGGTGTCAGACTGCACCAAGTGGATTCCTTACGCATGTAACTAAACCTGGAGGACATCATGTACTAGGCCACCAGCAGACATTCAATCCCCAGGACCAGACTCATGTTAATGGAAAGTAGGGCCCCAGCAGTAGAGGCTGAGTCCTCAAGACCCAGACATGATTCTCTCTACAGTTTTGCTCCCCTGCTTCTTAATGATGACATACTGAACAGCCAGGCATCCAAACCATCTATCACCCAAGCACCAGACAAATGACCAGTTCCTCTCCCTCGCCTCTCAGCATCCATGGTAGAAATCAGAAGGGCAGCCATTGGGAATTAAGTCTGAGGAATGCAGAAAATTTACTGAATAGGTGCAGGAGAGCTTCCGAGCTCCTGCGCAACACTTAAGGCTTCAAGCGCAGATGAAGGTCAGATGAAGGGGCTGAGCACATTCTAAGATAAAGTAAGCAATGGAAGGTTTTTCTAATTGTGATTGCATTATTGTTTTCCAGACCTGTTACAATTCTGAGTCAAGATTGTCCCAGTATTTCCCATTAATCTGGAACACATTAAAACTCATTTCTTGCAGTCTGAGATTAATAAAGCTATCTTAAAATCTATAATACCAAAGCCCGAGTACAATAAATTGAAGGAAGTTCAATACTAGTTACTACCTGTGAAATAAAAATAAGTAAAAAATACATTACTGCAGCTTGGAAATTACTCTGCTGGTCAGGCTGGGCAATTGGAATGTGGTATTACAACATATAAAAGGAAAATAACTTAATTAGATACTTCTGGAGAGATGAGAAACCTATCATTGCAGGAAGGAAAAGTGCAAAATAAAGCAGGATGTGAAGACAGTACAAAGGACAGACAGGGTCACTCGCTGTGAATAGTGTGACTGTGGATTTCTGTAGGATTTGTTCAATATGTAACATTAAAAAATCAAAACAGTAACAGCAAACCTTATAAAAAAAACCTGAAAATAAAATGAAAATTCTCCTTCAAGAACAGATGTATGACAAGTTTTTCTCATTTTCAACAAATGATTTCATGTTGCCTGTCTGTCTAATCATCTTCAGATGACTTTGATCACTTGCACCGGGGCCAAATGTCCAAATATTTGCTTACAAAAAAGGGGTGAAGCAACAGCCATCAATTTGTAAGTGAATTCTTTCTGATTTGTATGTACCATTGTTTTCCTTCTTACAAGCAAAGGTATGAACCCTTGCTTGGTGATGTCAGCATCAAAAATCAGTGCTAACCTGATTGATTCCTACTAACTGTAAATTGGCAGATCACATTTAATTACATATTAGTCTCCACCTCCGTAATTCCTTACTAGAGTTTCAGCAGAATATACAATTCTTTGACACTTCTGACTTTTTTTTGCCATACAGTTTAGTTTGAAAAACTAAAAAGTCAACAAAAAGAAAAAAAACATCAGGACACAGAAAAAATCAGGCTCCTCCACAGTCTCTTGAAGTAGAAGACACTGTCCGAGGTTTGTGTCTCTGTTTACCTTCAGAAAGACAAACCTCATATGCCTTGAGATGCTGCCAGAAACATAACTGGGTCAGTAGTTCAAATCCAACCAACAAGGGGCTGGCCTGGAAATAATTACTGTCTGATAATGCCACACATGAAAATGATTTTTTTTCCAAATCTATTCTGACGTTTAAAGCAGAAAACGTACAAACACACCACAGCACTGATAAGATGCTGAGTTCTCTGAAAAAAATGTCACAACAATTTTTGTGAGAGCACTGTATGTATCAAGGCTGCATCACATTTAAGTTGGTAGTTTCAAGAGTCCAGAGGAAAAAATTCATGAGGGTTTAGTCTGCACTGTCTACATTCAAGTAATAATAATAATAATCAAATTACTTACTGGAATTCCATGCAACTGTGGCTTATCTATCAAACTGTGCAGCTCATTCTTTGAAGCTTCTACTTTTTCTATGTCTGCCGCATCCACCATGTAACTGCAATGGGAATATAGTTATTTATGGTATTGTCTATTACTTGCAGAAAATTGCATTAAAACATCTGAAATGTGACAAATGTGTCTGCACTGACAATAGCATTAAAGCAGTCCTGAGTTGTTTAGGACTTGCATTTATTAACAGAAGATACAGAATTAAATACAGGCTACGGGGGAAAAATGGCCTGGAATGTGCAATTACCTACACACCTGGGTTGCTGGATGTGTGAACAACACTACTCTTACCATGTCAGGTCACCTTATGTGATGGGGGTGGACAGGAAGAAAAGTGTATCTATATTAGTAATATATATTTGAAAATACATTTTCTATGGGCATACAGAAGAAAACTTACACAACTGCATTGACTCCTCTGCAATAACGCTCCCACATGCTTCGAAACCTCGGCTGCCCTCCAATGTCCCATACCTGGAAAAGGTAAGAATACCCCAACCCCAAAACATTTTGAATTGTACTAACAGAACAGAACTTTTCCATGCAGCATGCAGTTTGCACTGACAATGCCTAAATGTAGGCAGCTTTTTAGGTGACCATCCTCAAAAGACTGGTCTTCTCAGCCCCTTCCAGTCAAAGCAGGGGGACAGACACATTCACAGGGCAAGTCAGTCCTGTGATCTTAACAGCTCCAAAGTCCATTTGGAGAACTTTGCCCTTTCCCACTCACTGCAAAAGAAGTCTAACTCAGATACCAAAGTAAATTCTGCAAGTACACAGTCTAAAACCCAGAAAGAATAGCAAAACTGGATGAAAGGAGTTATGAAGTTGCATTTTTATGGGGCTAGGGAGCTGAGAATTAAGAACGCATCACGCCTTCAGCAAAAAGATGGGTATTAAGTAAATAAAGAGTTGGTCAGAGAGCAGATTGAGTCCACATAAAGGATGATACACTCTGGGAAGCTCCAATACCTCCACAGCTCTCCCATTTGTTCATCAAATGTGCTTGAAAAGACACATGGATTAACTGTCAGAACGAGAAAGGAAACAGTAGAGTATGGAAGGCCTGAAGTGATTAATCAGTGAATCTTAAGGAAAGGAAGCTCAAATTCTGCTTGGGATTTTATAAAGCTCCAATCCTGCAAATACTTATGCATGCTATTAGTGTCTGGCAATCCCACTGAATTCCTTATTGCTAAAAAGGCAGCACATTCTTTTTCTGTACAGGAGTTAACTTATTCTGTTTTGCTTGCAAAAAATCAGTATTTTGGTGGGTGAGAATAATCTTGCTTCAAAACTGCTTCCAACATCAAATACCAGGGAAAAGTTCTAAATCATGCAGGCAAGGGCTGTGTGATGATGTAGCTGTTGCAGCTACACCCAAAGACACTTATAAGTGCCACACCGATTCAAATAATGAACACTGAAAAATAAGAGGAATAGATTTGTTCCTATGTCAAAGAAAATGATTTTTTATTTTAATCAGATTTAGCTATCAAAACAGGTACTGTATACCAGAGGTAGGAAGCATATCCATTACAGCACAAACTAAATCTGGAAGCAACATACCCAGAAGCAAAATTTTCTGAAAAGCTGTTTTCATATTTATACTTCATAAATCTATACATATTAAACCTATTGTAGCAGCAAAGGCTTGCACAAAAGAATGACACTTAATACACCCTTGGGATAAGGCCTTTTTCAAGTAATGTGGACTATATTTTTAATTCCATAAGCCATAAATCACATTGATGTATCTTTTTCCCTATCATTTTCAACACCTTATGTTCATATTTTAGAAAGAAGTATTTCCCAATTCACCATTAAAATAATTCCCTATTATCTCACTATGCCTTTTGGCATGAAATTAGTATATTACCTAAACACAGACTGCACCTTTGATCCCCTCTGTAAGATCAAGGATTTCACACATTAAGGAGAGTTGAGTGAACTCTAGACCAAAAATTGGGTATCATTTATTATCTACACTGACATTTGAAGCACTGTTTCAATAGTCTTAATAAAATAAACCTTTTCTTTTAAAAGAAAGAGATGTGTACACTCTTCAGTACTATAGTTAGATGACAAACCCCACACCGACACTAATTATTCCAATAACTCATCAGGACCTTGAAACTATCAGTAGCCATCTGGTGCACATCTGCACATCTGGAAAAAGAAACCAGATTTTTTTTTTTTTGGTAGATCAGAGAAGAAAGAAGGGGAAAGAGGACAGAGAAGGCCAGTAGTAAGATTAGATTTTTGGAGAGTGACAGTGATTACTCCTGGTAGCCAGAAAAATCTATAAGCCTGGACTAATCACAACGTAATACAAGATAAAGAAATTCTGGGTTTGGCATTGTTTGATGATATACTATATCTAGACTATATTAAAGTGCACTGCAGAACAAGTATTATTCTCATTAGGAGAAAGAGTCACCTTGAAACAATGGAAAGATAAGTCATTTCCAGTTAGTTTCCCTAGTAAGTCTTACAGCTATTCATTAAAGTACAACATGAGGGACACAGAACAGACTAGGTGCTTTTAATAGTGCTTGGGAACCCAGCTTACATCAAAATATTAAGTTATATTATCTGAAATAGGGAAAAGAAAATAAATGTATTAAATTAAAAAAATCTTTACCTCTTTGCCTATGAAATTAAAATGGTGTGAGCAGTAACTTTCTAAGACTCTTTACTGACTAGCCAACACAGGAGAGGTCTCAGCATTATTTTCTTGCCTTGCATGTTTTGTACATTGCCTGGTTTTGTATCCTGGTATTTAATACACGGGTAAAAAGTATACTTGGGTGTGAACTGGGAGATGAAGGAGACTACACCTCAACAGTGTCACTGTTAAATTAGATGACATTAAATTAGGTGACGTTAAATTAGACTAGATCTCAGGAAGAAGTTCTTCAGTACGAGGGTGGTGAGACTCTGGAACTGGTTGCCCAGAAAGGCTGTGGGTGCCCCTCCCTGGAGGTGTTCCAGGCCAGGCTGGATGAGGCCTTGAGCAACCTGGTCTAGTGGAGAGGCATCCCTGCCCACAGCAGGGAGGTTGGATTAGATGATCTCTAAGGTCCCTTCCAGCCTAAGCCATTCTATGAACAGTAGAATGTACACAGCTAGCTTTTTTTTTCTGAGTGTATTTAAAAAGATACTGGACTTGCTCCCATGGCTTTTATTGATCCCCTGGGAATAGCGTTTTTGTAACATTTAAGATATAATTTTATCCCTAGATGACTAGCTGATCTTAAGAATCAGAAAATGCACACAGAATGACCAAACCAAACAGAAGAAAAAGTTTCTTTGATGCCTAGTACCATGCCTCAGAGATTAAAATCTCAAATTGTTGTTGTGTAGGCTCAATCTCAAAGGCATGCAGCTCATTCCTACTGCATTTTGTCAATCACTGTTTTCTTTATTCCTTTCTGCTCCTACAGAGCAGTAATTCTTATCATGCTTGCAGGTCTACAATCTCATAAAATAATGCAATGCTTTAATTTGTAAACTAGATTAATCTTAATAATTTTGAATCATTATTTACCATATCTATTAAATTCAATTCTCTAAAACAGGAATCTCTGTGGATATGTCTCTTGTTCAATTTCCATACTTCATGTGGCTCTAAGGCTCTTTAAGACTGCAGCTATCAGCTGTGTTTAAGGAACAGATCTTTTTCTTTTGCACAGATATATCATGACAGTTGAGTAAAAATGTAGCTGGGGAGTATGTTCAAAATTTTTTCAAAAGCTTTCAGTTACAGGAAGGTTCATTGACACTCTAGTTGCATTTCTTTAAATTAGCTTAGATTGTGGGAGGGCCTGACTGTCAGTAACAAAGCTGCAGAAAGGGAAAGGTAGTTATTTTCGAGATGTCAGTTTTATATGACTTTTTTTTCAGACATGCTAGGTTGGATATTTCTTGTGGACAATGACACATTTGTATCTCACTGTCATTGCATATGGTTCACCACCTAAGTTTTCACCACAGTCAGTAAGGCCTAGACAGCTATTCAGCTGACCAAATGTCACATCATCTTTAGGATGACAGAATTATGCTCTAGGCTTGATGGTACTGACTTGATCTCCTCTGACTGTTATCAAAAGAGCTTAACCCTCACTGCAGACATATAGCTGTTTACATTCAAACATCTTAATTTGCAAGTTGAATCCAACACTACAAATATCTGGACTCAGAAATATATCTTTCTGGTTTGAAGTAGAAAAATACCTGCCATAAAACCTAACCTGAACAAACAGGTGGGGAAATTCTAAACACAGAGAAACGTTTGAGCAGAATAAGGTAGCACCAGCAACATCCAACACCACATCATACACAGACAAGTCTATGTATACTGAGATTAACGAGCACATACATGCACAGCAAGCACAGCCACAGCCAACTCAGTGTGTAATGACAGGGAGTAACTAGAAATCGTGGGATTCAATTCCCTCAGCTTCAGCCACCTAAAATGTAGGCATCTAATCCAAGGGATTAAAATCTCTCTGTGGCTACTGAAGAGCTTAAAGGGCACCCACGGGAGGAAATGATTCCATCTGCCTTACCCATCTTGCATACCAGATGCACCAGTCTCACAAAGCACTCGCTGCTCTCCACCTAGTTTAGACAACTGGCTCAGGCTGCTTCCTCCTTTGCACCTGGCTAAGCTCAGGGGAGACAGATCCTGAACAGTCACCTATTCTACAGTAGGATCTTCACGCCAGCAATGTTTGGGTTCCCCATCTAATAAAAAGGAAGAATAAAAAGAGACAAACCAAATAACCTTAAAATTTTTAATAAATTGCCTTGTGGATACAACACTGCAGAGCCTCGCTTGTAGTACCAGCCATGCAACCCATCACAGAAGTTAGAATCCTTTTCTATCTTAGAATATTTATCACTTATTTATCATCCTTTATTTTGAAATGTCTAAACAGTTGCTTTTAAAGCTGAAAAAAAACATGCCACAGGGCTACATATTCTGCTGGCATTACTTCCCAGAACACTGCTCTTGGAAATTAGTCTTGGTCCTTGAAAGAACCCTGCTGTCATTCCTCACTGGCAATAAAGTTTAACTTTTAAACAATTTTTGCAGCTAGGTATTTTAGCTTAGTCACGTCAGACGTCACATTATAGAAGAAAACACTTCACAGTTTATAGTTAAATAATTTGATCATAGCACTTTGACTGAAGAATGGGAAATGGACAAAGTTGGAAGGGTCAATAGACGAATTTTAAACAGGACAAAAAAGTAAAGTCTGTTTTCAGGAAGCGTCTTCTGAACCTTGTGCTGCCTACCTCCACATTGTGTTCTAAGGCAGGAGAGAATCAGGGAAACCACTTTGACAAATAAGACTGTAATCCTCTCGCATCTCTGAACAGAATGAGCCTACCCAACCTAACCTCAATGTTGCATCCTCCCCGAAGCAGAAAGCCCTGATTTTGTATGACCACATTCAACCCTTTGT